CTCTGTGAAAAATTAATAAAATATATTTTTTAAATATTATTGAGCATTTATTATGGATTTAGCATTTTATTAGTGACTGAGAAAAAAATTAAAATTAAGTTGAAGTCAAAGTCCTTTCCAAGGTCATGAAACATTTTTATACTGGCTGATAGCACATTCAGGTCTATTTGATATCTATTTCTAAAGGACAGAATGAAGGGAAGAAAGAAGAGGTTAGCAAAACAGTGGGAGAGAGGGGGAGAGCGGGTAAAAGATCAATCAAAGGACTTGTATACATGTATGTAAGCATAACCAATGGACACAGACAGTAAGTGATGAGGGCATGTGCTGGTGAGTGGGAGCAGCCAGGTAGAGGTCAATAGCCAGGCAGAGGTCAATGGGGGGAAAAGGAGACATATGTAAAACTTTAAACAATAAATAATTTAAATTTTAAAAAACTATGAAATAACTTAGCATTATCATAATTGCTTAAAACTAGTGATCTATCCATTGTCTGGAGACTGTTGATATGAGAAAAGCAACAAAGCCCTGATAAATAGCAACATGTGATGTCCTGGAATTGTAGCTTTGGCTTATACTAATGAGCTACTAAGAAAAAGAAAGTCATCACATTCAAATACAATAGTTTTCTGTGCACATTTTCTCAACCATAGCTAATTTGATTTCTAATTACATGATTGGAATTTAAGCTGTTAGCTCTGACTGTGATAAGTAATTCAAACAGTACTTTGCCACAGAAAGTAGAATTTACTCTTGGATCAAACATTCCAAAATAGTGTTATAAATATTCCTAAAGTTGGAAATGACCTTGAATATTCATCTTGTTCATTTTTCTACTTTCACCCTCTCCAGTGGGTCTGCAGGTCAGATCTACCTAAAGATGGTTCTGATACTGTCTCCTACTTCTGAAATATATCAATATAATTAAATACAATACATTATTGAGAGTTTATATGCTAGGTACAATGTGTAGAAAAAGAAAACTAAATTTCCTGTTAGTCCTTCCTTCTTTAAAAAATAATTATTATGTTTGACATTGGAAAGAAGCAATCCTAAACTCCTTTTATTGTTTTTTTAAGAACTTTTTCTCTTTTAAAAAAATAAATAAACTCACTCCTTCAGTTGCCCCCTAGTTTCAGTTTCAGACGAATGATGTGGACTAAAGCATGATCCAAATTGTAATCACCATTAAGACCATTAATTATCTGTGTTCCCTCAACCTAAGCAAGATGTAGAATGTATGTAATTACCAGGATAATTCAAGCCAGGAAAAACATTTTGCTGGACTTGCTAGACTTCTCCCTGACATTTTGATTTATATTTGGGATGGCCTAGTTCAGCCTGAATATTCTTGAATGTTTCCATAATCAAAAGAGAACTTTGTCCTCAAAGTCTCTCTAACACCAAGGCCAGGTTACTTCAGCCTGAGACCACCTTTCACTTTAGATGACTCAGTAAAATAACCTCAAGACTTTGTGGTGTGGTGTTTTGTGTGTGTGTGTGTTGGTTGTTGTTTTTTTTGGGGGGGGGCGGGGGGGGAGAGGGATGTGCTACTTATATTTGCATTAATTGTGTATACAGTGTATTTCTTATTTATTATTTCATTTTCTTTTTATTTCACACCTATTTCTCCTTAGCAATAAATAGTTCTCAGCCCAGGATCTGCTAAAGCATTGCTTGTTTTTGATTAAAAAAACACACAGAGAAAAGTAAAAGAAAAAAAAAAAGTAAGTAATAATAATCCTATCTAATAAAAGAGTAATATGCAATTGACTGTCACTCCAACAAATAAGATGGCCACCCCCATGTGGTCAAAGATGGCCAGTAGGGGAGGGCAGTTGGGGGGACCAGGCCTGCATGGTAGGGCAGTGGGGGGGGGCGGGGGGGACCAGGCCAGCAGGGGGAAGGCAGTTGGGGGCAACCAGGCCTGCATGGGAGGTCAGTTGGGGGCAACTGGGCCAGCAGGGGAGGGCAGTTGGGGAGGACCAGGACAGCAGGGGAGGGCAGTTGGGGGTGAATAGGCCTGCAGGGGAGGGCAGTTGGGGGCAATCAGGTTGGCAGGGGAGCAGTTAGGTGTCGATCAGGCTGGCAGGGGAGTGGTTAGGGGCTGATCAGGCTGGCAAGCAAAAGCTGTTAGGGGCAATCAGGCAGGCAAGCAGGCAAGCGGTTGGGAGCCAGCAGTCCTGAATTGTGAGAGGGATGTCTGACTGCCCATTTAGGTCCAATCCCACACTGGGCAGTCGGACATCTCTAAACAGGCAGTTAGATATCCCTCGAGGGTTCCCAGATTGGAGAGGGTGCAGGCTGGGCTTAGGGACATACCCTCCCCCCCCACCCTGTGCATGAATTTCATGCACTGGGCCTCTAGTAACAATAATAAAAGTTTCCATTACTTAATTTAAACATTATAAATGCCACTCATTGTACAATGTTGCTTTAAATTCATTGGTTCATTTAAATCTTATTACAATCCTATGGAATAGGTTCTATTTACACATGAAGAAACTGAGATTCAGGGAGGCTAGTGTGTTAGTCTAGGTCAGCCGTGGGCAAACTACGGCCCGCGGGCCGGATCCGGCCCGTTTGAAATGAATAAAACTATTAAAAAAAAAGACCGTACCCTTTTATGTAATGATGTTTACTTTGAATTTATATTAGTTCACACAAACACTCCATCCATGCTTTTGTTCCGGCCCTCCGGTCCAGTTTAAGAACCCATTGTGGCCCTCGAGTCAAAAAGTTTGCCCACCCCTGGTCTAGGTCCTCAAGAAGTATGGGATGAAAAGGGCAAAAATTTTATTAGAGGAAACATACGTGTGGAAGAAAATAGGGAGGAAGCTGGAGGAGGCAAGGAGGAAAACCAGACCACAATACAAGTCTGACTCACAATAAAAGAGTGAGGAAGAGGAGGTTGAGTGAAAGCATCCTAGACTGTCTGTAGTCTAAGGAAGTTTTGGCAAAATTGTTAGGAACCGTGAGCCAAAGTCAATGACAAAAGAGAGTGAGTCAGCCTAGTATCTCTGTCACTTTCAGTCACTGGCCAGAGCAACCAGTGGAAGGCATGGCCTCAACCCAAACACAATAAAGGATTTTAAAGCCAGCACGAGAGACAGTTATGCTCCCTGTAGTTCTGAAAGGTGTGATCTTATGGCGGCTATGGCTAGTTACATGATGATGCTGAAATTCAACCCTGTATAGCCCTAACTCCAGACACCATCCCTTTATCATTAAGGTTATTATATTTCTCATGACCTTGTTTATATGTTCTCTTGACGTTGGTAATAAAATTTTCAACATTTAAAATCAAAATTAGCAACTTTCAGTGGCTTTGAAAAATAGGCTTTGTCATTTCTCTTTTTTAACATTAAGTAAGTATTAATTTACGTAATTAATTTCTTTAAGATGGTAAATAATTTAATAATACAATAAACATCTATAATGAAGCTTATGTCATCATAAATGATGATTCTTAAATCCCTAGCACTGCTCTCACTTAGAAAATATTTATCATTTTACCTCAGAGTTTGAATCAATTTAGGAAGTTTTATACAGGGAATAAGATAAATCATGTCTCAAAATATGTTTCTTTCTAAACCAAATCTTCAGAAATTTCTACTGGACTTTTAGAATTTGCATGAAATATTGGGATGTAGTTGGATGTGGGAGATGACTAAATGATTTTTTTTCCTGATTCACCCATCAATACCTCATTATTCTACAGCTTGTTCACCTCGGTCACCTTCTTAGAAGACTGGTGAATCTGTTAACTTTTACTGTGCACCAAACCACCCCCTAAAACAGTGGTTTTAATGACAAATCTTCCTTTTTCTAAGTTCGATGCTTGTAAATTGACAGAGCTGAGTTAGGTTAATCTAGGCTAGACTCATTTATAAAAAAGCAGCTTAGCCATATTTCTTAACTTCACAGTGCCTCATTTTCCTTGCCTCTCAAACTGAGTTAACCTATTAAGATTATTGTAATAGGTTAAATAATGACTCCCCAAAAATCATGTCTATACAGAAATTCAGAATGTGATCATTTGGAAATGGGGTCTTTGCAGATGTAATCAAGTTAAAATGAGGTCAGGCTGGATTAGGCTGAACCAAATCCGATGATTGGTAGCTTTGTAAGAGGGAAATTTGGACATAAAGACACAGACAAAGAAAAGAGGATGTGAGACATGGGGGTGAATGCCACATGAAAATGAAGACAGAGATGGAGTGAGGAATCTACAAGTAAAAGAATGCCAAGGATTGCCAGCAACCACCTTGCAGATGCCTTGATTTCAGACTTCTAGCCTCCAGAACTATCCTATATAATAAAGAGGTAATATGCAAATTAACCCTCACACCCTCACAAGATGGCTGCCTACAACCAGACCGGAAAGTTGGGGGGTAGTGAGAGATGACCAAATGACTGAACAAGCAGGCTGCATGGGGCAACCAGGCCAGCAGCGGCGTTAGTGAGGGATGATCAAACAACTGAACAGCAGGCTGCGTGGGGTGACTAGGCCAGCGGGGGGGCCGTGAGGGATGACCAGGCCAGAAGAGGGAGGCAGTTGGGGGCAACCAGGCCAGCAGGGGGGCAGTTGGGGGCAATTAGGCTGGCAGAGGGGGCAGTGAGGGGCAACCAGGCTGGCAGGGAGGGCAGTTAGGGGTGATCAGGCTGGCAGGCAGGTGAGTGTTTAGGCCCAGAAGTCCAGGATTGTGAGAGGGATCCCAGATTGGAGAGGGTTCAGGCTGGGCTGAGGGGACCCCTCCCCCCCCCCCCCGCAACCCGTGCATGAATTTCGTGCACTGGGCCTCTAGTGAAAGAATAAACTTCTGTCATTCTACTAAGTCACTCAGTTTGTGGCAATTTGTTGTAGTAGCCCTAAGAAATGAACACAGTTTTGAGGATTAAGTAGGACAATTTATGTAAAGAATTTATGATTGGGCCTATAGTAAGCATACAATAAAAGTTATTTTATTTTCATTATCATTATAAATCCAGATTGAAACTCTTAAATGTAAATATGACCAGGGCACATTCCTAAATAAAACTTTTCAGATGCTTTTTAGGGTCCAAACTTTAAGATACCTCAAAATGTCCTGAACAGAGTCTGACCAGACATCCACCTCTGTATATTTCTTTCACGTTCATTCTCTCTTCTCCAGCTACACAGACCTTTTTCAAATCCTTGTTCTTTACCATCTGTAGACATTCTAACATGTTATCCCCTCTGCCTGGAGTGTTCTTTCCTTTTCTTTTTATTGACTTTAGAGAGAAAGGGAGAGAGAAAAACAATATTAATTTATTGTTCTACTTGCTTCTGCATTCATTGGTTGATTCTTGTATGTGCCCTGACTGGGGAATTAAACCCACAACCTTGACATATTGGGACAACTCTCTAACCAACTGAGCTACCTAGCCAGGGCCCATTCTTCCCTTTTCTCCCCTGGGGCACTCTCATTCTTTAGGTTTCTGTGTAAAGTTTTTTAAAGGAGTTTTTCCTGATTAGGAAAGATCCTGCTGTTTTACATCCTTTAGTGCCCCCTACTTCTGCTAAGTTCATCACACTTGTGAATGTTCATTTGTATTTCTAGGACCACTGTAAGCTCTGAAAGAACTAGCTGCTATTGTCCTATTCTTTGTGCTCAGCCACTACCCAGCATATAGCCTGCCACTAGTTCAATAAATATGTATTGATATTACATAAGTAAATGAATACAATTATTTAAATACAATGTAATCTACACTAATAAAAGAGAAAAATGGTAATTGGCGTACGGCGCTACCCTTTTCATTGGCTAATCAGGGCTATATGCAAATTAACAGCCAACTAAGATGGCAGTTAACTGCCAACAAAGATGGTGGCTAATTTGCATATGTAGGCACAATGCAGGGAGGCGAAAGGGAAAGCAGGAAGAAGCCCCCTGCCACTGACAGTGATTGGAAACCCAGGGGGGAGCTAAGAGGTGGGGGGCAGGGCAAAGGCGGCCCTGGGGCCGCCTTTGCCCTGCCTCCCAGCCATGATCAGAGAATCAGGCGCCTTTGCCGCCCTGGCCAGTGATAGCAGGAAGTAGGGGTGGAGCCAGCGATGGGAGCTGGGCACGGTCAAAGCTGGCAGTCCCGGGAGCTAGGGGTCCCTTACCTGGGCCTAAAGCGGAGCCCACGATCGCGGGGCCACTGCAGCTGTGGGTCCCCGCTGCCCGAGCCGGATGCCTCAGCCAGAGGCGTTAGGCCTGGGCAGGGGCGGAGCCTGCAACCCTGGGGAGCTGGGGGTCCCCTGCCCAGGCCTAACGCCTTGGCCAGAGGCATTAGGCCTGGGCAGGGGCAGAGCGGGAGATCGCGGGGAGCTGGGAGTCCCCTGCCCAGGCCTAATGCCTCGGCCAGAGGCGTTAGGCCTGGGCAGGGGCGGAGCCTGCAACCGCGGGGAGCTGGGGATCCCCTACCCAGGCCTGACACCTCTGCCGGAGGCCTCAGGCCTGGTCAAGGGGCCAATCCGGGGATTGGTGATCGGAGGGTGATGAGGGTCAACTCCTCTGGCCGAGGCATCAGGCCTGGGCGGGGGTCTGGGGGTCCCCTGCCCAGGCCTGATGCCTAGGCCAGAGGCATCAGGCCTGGGTGGGGGGTGGAGCCGGGGATTGGAGGGATATGATGGTCCCCTTGCCCAGGCCTGAAGCCTGGGTCAGAGGCGTCAGGCTTGGGCGGGAGGTGGAGCAAGCGATCAGAGGGAGATGGGGGTCCCCTGCCCAGGCATGATTCCTGGGCCAGAGGCCTCAGGCCTGGGCGGGGGTCAGAGCCAGTGATCGGGGGGAGATGGGGGACCCCTGTCCAAGCCCGACACTTCTGGCGGAGGCATCAGGCCTGGGCAAGAGGCCGATTAGGCGATCGGAGGGTGATGGGGGTCTACGCCTCTGGCCGAGGCATCAGGCCTGGGCAAGGGGCAGAGCCAGCAATCGGAGGGGTCTGGGGGTCCCCTGCCCAGGCCCGACGCCTGGGCCAGAGGCATCAGGCCTGGGCTTGGGGCAGAACCAGTGATGGGGGGAAATGAGGGTCCCCTGCCCAGGCCTGACGCCTCTGTCAGAGGCGTCAGGCCTGGGCAAGGGGCCGATCCTGTGATTGGAGGGTGATGGGGGTCAATGCCTGAGGGCTCCCAGTATGTGAGAGGGGGCAGGCTGGGCTGAGTGACACTCCCCCCCACACACACACCCAGTGCACGAATTTCGTGCACCAGGCCCCTAGTATATATATAAAAGCCTAAGTGACCATCTGACCATCCAACTGTCCGGCCATCCAACCAGTAGCTATGATGCACAATGACCACCAGGGGGCAGATGCTCAATGTAGTAGCTGCAGTGTGACAGAAACTTTGCAGACTGTCCTCACACACCAGGACCCCTCAGGGGATTTTGGACTGCAGTTTTCAGCCGGATCCCCACAGGCCAGGCCAAGGGACCCTACCTGCCAGAGGGACCCCACTCACTCTGCAGACGCCCTTCGAGCCCTGGTGTTACCCCAGACGTGGTTGGCCAGGGAGGGACCACGGGAGGTTGGCTCCAGGGCGTGTCCAGCCTGTCTCGCCCAGTCCCACCCTGCTGGCTACCTTCTAATTAATTTCCTTTCAATGTGCATGAATTTGTGCACCAGGCCTCTAGTAAATATAATTATCGGCATACAAGTATGACTTCACAGGAGAACAGATGGATGGGCTTGCAGGTGACCTAGGACAAACTGAGTCATAGGACGTTATGAATAGGAAAGTCACTAAAGTACATTTATTTTAGCCTCTGCCTGTATTTCATTTAGTCAGAATGAGTAACCAGAAGCCCAGGGGTGTGAAGCATTTACTCAAAGTTGAACAGCCATCAATGGTCAAACTGCAACCAGAATTCCTTTTCCTCTTCAGAGTCACTCAACAACATTATGTGGCATACACTAAAGAGAAGTGGAGCCTGGACCTGTAATAAATAAATAAATAAGCCATGTCTGGGTATCTCAGTAGGTTGGAATGTCATCCTGTACACCAAAAGGTTTTTGGTTCCATTCCTGGTCAGGGCACATGCCTAGGTTGCAGGTTTGATCTCTGGTTGGGAGAGTGCAGGAAGTAACTGAACCATTTCTCTCTCTCCCTTCCTCTCTTTCTAAAATCAATACATACAAACACATCCTCCAGTGAATATTTAAAATAAAATAAAATAAAAATAAATAAATAAGAGATAGATACAGCTGAAGGAGTAAACCTGGGTAAATACCAGCTTTATTCACAGAGGGCAAAAATAATAATGAGATGAGAGTATGTTTAAATGACTCCAGGATTGCCAAATATGGTGATTCAGAACTGATAGGAAGTAACTCAAATTCCTTAAGTGCAGTGAGAGAATGTGTAACTAAGGGAGGAGAAATTAAATTCCTGAAGTGCAGCGAGAGTGTGATTGGGGAGGAGAAGAGAAATTCCCTAAATTGAGATAAAGCTCAGAAGGAACAAAGAACATTATGAAAGACCTGTTATCTGGTAGTATCCATCCGAGCCAAAATCCCGCCCGCCTACTTGCCCCTAAAAGCTTGCCTGCTATCTCCCTGGTTGCCATCAGAGTTGGTATGGTAACAAGAACCAGGAACTAACAATGCAGTTTAACACAGATAACATGGCAGCACTGTGTTATCAGGGTGGGGCAGGTGTCTTTATTCAGATTCCTTTACCCCCTAAATCCACAAATTCCAATGACAACACTGATGTTAGGTTAACTCTTCCATTGTCCCAGAATTCTGCCTATTTGTCCTATACATTTTTGCTTTTAGTAAAAGCCCAGCCTTCCTATTACCTCTACTTACACTTCTGAGTATGGGCATACCTCGCTTTATTGTACTTCTCTTTATTGTGCTTCACAGAAGTTGTGCTGCTTGCAAATTGAAGGTAAGACATTCCACCAGTGAAAAGACTATGACTTGCTTTATTGCGACACTTGCTTTATTATGGTAGTCTGAAATGGAGCCTGGAATCCCTTAGATGTATGCCTATAAATAGAATTATCCATTCTATCAATCAATCTCACCCTCCTCTGTCAATACCCAATCAGTCCCTAAATCCCAACCATTCTGAGCATGGACAAGAAGACCCTTCACAATTTGGCCTCTGCTAACTTTTACAACACTCTTTCCAGACATATATACCCTATATTTTAGCCACCCTGTTCTCTGAAATCTTTAGGTATTTTTTACATTTTCATTTTTTTGCTTATTATTATTATTTTATTCATTACTGAAATAGTGAGTGATAACTTAGTAATTTAATTCTGAATGTTTTTGACAAAAGAAAAACTTGGGTTATAATTATATATTCATGTACTATTATTTTAACATATTTTAATATGTATAAATATTAATATGTAATAAAGTATGCAGCATATACAATTATAAAGACTACATAAAAACATACACACTATTTATTACTCCACTATACTTTTATAAATTTTAGAGTTAGCAATTTATATGCACATTGAAACCATCAAATGTTAATTATTGTTTAAATAATATTTAATAATAACTTCTTTGTAACTTCTAATAACAGTAGCAAATATGATTAAACGTAATTAAACATAGCTCCTGGGAGATGAATGCCTAAAAGTCCATGTATGACTTTTGGGGGGGAATTTTTAGTAGTTACTCAGGATGTTTGTGTAATATAGCAATTTCATTGAAGACATGTGTTTGGTCATAAAAACTGGGCAATTCTGTGCTTTAATAACTATAGAGTTATGACGTTATTATGTACTTTCACTGTCTTTTGCTTATAACTCTAGTATAACATTTACTTTGTTTTGCCCTTTAAAACAACTATCCAAATAATCATGATGATCCATTAAGACTACAGTTTGTAGAGTGTAAGTGTAAATTTATTATGTATAAATATGTAATGGGAACATAATCATTGTTTAATGGAGTCATAAGATAATATTTGTGGTTCTCTCAGAAACATTGATTTAACCCTTAAATAATGATGCTGCCTACCTCACTCTCAAATTTACCCCCAAAAGGCTGTCTCCATGGGTTCTGAAGTTGCGACTATTCCATTATTTTCTGGGTTATTGCAATAAGGTATTAAATGATCTCTTTGCAGCTGGACTTGTCTTTCTTACAATCACTCCTTTACACTGATGTCAGATTGATCATTCTAATGTAAATCTGATAAGATCATTCCCTGCTTGTTCCTACTTCATTAGCCAGGATTGTGACAGAAAATAAATGTCACACAAAAAATGGAGAATTGAGAA